GTTACAGCCAGGAATTTGGCAGCTACATTTTTTTTTTGCAGTAGATGCTAAGTTAAAAAAAACATTTAAATGAAAATAGATCAACCACACAATGAAGACTCCCAGTGAAAAGGCTCAAGACCACGGGGATTATTTCTGAAGTCTTCTTGGATAACATATTTCAGGGGCTTCATAACAATATGCACATCTTTGTTTCCAATGATTTCTATATTGTATTAGCTTCCAACTGCTGCTATAACAAATGACCATAAACTTAAGGGCTGGACATACCACAAATATATTCTTTTATATCTCTGGAGGTCAGGAGTCCAAATTCAGTTTCTCTGGGCTAAAATGAAGATATCTGTAGAGATGGCTTGAGGAAGAATCCCTTTTCTGGCCCTTTTCAGTTTCCAGTGGCTGCCTGACCCCTTTCTCCACCTGCAGAGTGCTCTAACGCTGCCCTCACCATCACACCACCATCTCCTCAGACTCTGATTCCTTCTGATAAAGACTGTTGTGCCTATAGTGGGCTATCTGGACAACCCAGGCTACTCTTCTCATCTCAAGATTCTTGATCACACCTGCCCCTTAACAATATAAGGTCACATTCACAGGGTCCAAGGATTAGGATGTGGAGACATTTGGGGGAAGAGCATTATTCAGCCTACCACATATATCAAAAAAATTCTTTTTTAACAATATTTATTTTTTAGTTGTAGTTGTACACAACATCTTTATTTTATTTATTTATTTTTATGTGGTGCTGAGGATCGAACCCAGGGCCTCACATATGCTAGGTGAGTGCTCTTCCACTGAGCCACAATCCCAGCCCTCAAACAATTCTTTAAATAAATATTCGTTGCTTGTAAAATGTACATGAACGACACTAATGAACAGCAAGACATTGCTTTTACATACCTGCGCCATATCATTAGCACGCACATGACACACATTTAACCTAGAGAAAGTTTCATTATATTAGGAACATGATCTCCTGGTCCTAGTCACCCATATTCAAATGTGTTCATTTAGAAAAGAGGAGGCAGGAAGGAGAAGAGAATAATGATGGAGAAAAAGCCAATGTAACTCTTCTCCCTCGAACAATAGCTCTGAGCATCACCCTTCTCTCTCTCTCTCTCTCTCTCTCTCTCTCTCTCTCTCTCCATCTGGACTGGCCACTCCTCCAAAGGTCCATATACCATAGTTTTGACTGCCAGTCAGTGGTGCCACTGGAGGTGTTGGAACCTTCAGGGGTGGGACCTAGTGGAAGGAAGTTAGGTCACTAGGGGTGTGTCCTTGAAGGGGATATTGGGACTCTGACCCCGAATGGAGCAGTGTTTTTTGCCATGTGCTCCCTCCCATGATGTACCGCCTTGCCACAGGCCTGAAGGCAACAAGGCCAGGTGACGGTGGATGAAACTCTGAAACCCTGCACCAGAACAAATCTTTCCTCCTTTTGAGGGGTTCATTTTGTCACAGTGACAGAAAGCTAACATGCTTACATAGGTAAAGTTGATGTCTATAATCATCTTGAGCACAATGATATATTGTCATATTAAATGTCTGACATAGAAAAACATCTAAATCATGCTCATCTGATCTGATTACTCGACAGACATTGTAAGTGGATACCTAGCATGTGCTGGGAACTGTTCTTACTCTTAAGGATTCAAAGATAAATGAGACTCGGTGAGCTCCAGGTGGTGCCTGGGGCACAGCACAGCCATTGCCTGACACAACGTCAGTACCACTGGGATGTGCACCAGGGCTGGTGGGGCTCCATCATACCTAGCGGTGGGCAAAGACAGTGGAAAGGACAGGTTCCGTGCGAGCAGAGCGACAAGCTCTGAGGGAGACCTTAGCTGGTCTGAGAAAACATAGATAGTTTGAGGTGGTGGAAACGGAGGGCGAGCACAGGACAGTGGCTGGGACGAAGGCAGGAGATGGCCAGGGCTGGATCTGTGGAGCTCTGTGTGCCATGAGATAGTCTGGCCTTCCTCGCAATGAGTGGCTTGTAGACAGTCTTATAAGGAAAGCAGCCTGTGGTTTTGAAGATAACCCAAGCAGCCATACACAAGGACCACAGAGGAAAGGAGGGGCTGAAAAACATCCAGACAACTGCCAGAATTGAGAAGAGAGTCTTAGCTGAGGTAGTGGCAGCTCAGAGAAAGAGAGGGTAAGTATGAGAAACAACGGTCTCACGTCAACATGACTCTAAGTCCAGACACTGCTGCAGGTGGAGTGGGGCACAGGTGGAGTAGGGCACAGGTGGAGTGGGGCACAGAGGAAGTTGGAGATAGCTCTGAGGTGACTTCTCTGATGGTTGGTAGATGATCCCCTTAATCAAGAGAGGAGACACAGAGATGAGCAGGTGCAGAGGTTAGAGAGAGAGAGAGAGAGAGAGAGAGAGAGAGAGAGAGAGTATGCGTGTGTGTGTGTGTGTGTGTGTGTGTGTGTGTGTAAGTGTTTTCAGCAGGTTGAATTTTGAGTTTCCTGTGGGCTCTACAGAGACGAAAATCTGATAGATAGCCAGAATCACAGGCAGCTGCAGGAGTGTGGGGTATGGTTAAATGACCCAGCAACAGCACATCAATTAAGTCAAGAGTAGGGCACAGAATGCAGCCCAGGGCAGGCAGAAAGAGAACCCAGGGGGCTGGGTCATAAGGCCAAGAAGAGGGCCTTTGACAGAGGAAAGGAAGCCATAAAATGCTGCAGGGACATCAGGGTAGATGCGGAGGTCACTGATTCCACAATTGGCAGCTGCCAATGGCCTTGATGACATTCATTTTGGGAGACTGGAAGGATGAGGAGGGATCACAGAGGCTTGGGAGGTAGGAAGAGCAGGTGGGGAACAATCTCTTAAGAAACCTGGACTATGGGAAACCTGAGGTGCTGGGATGGCACCGCCAGAGAGGGCCCGCTCCAGAGTGGGGACCTCTGTGTGCTTCGTGAACTCTTGGGCCCAACTTGCTGTGGACCCCATATGGTACCGAGCTCCTTAGGGTACTGACTCATCCATTGCTGTGACCCCTGTATCTCATCTGTCAACTGGGCTTAGGGCATGGCCCTCCTGGTACGTGATCAGATGCTGTGAAGGTATTTGGGGGGATGAGAATAACATTTAAAGCAGACTTTGAGTAAAGCAGATCACCCTCATCTAATCAATGAAGCCCTTCAGAGAAAGACTGAAGCTCCCCAAGGAAAAAGAAATGCTTCCTCAGTTACTTTAGACTTAAAGTACAACATCAATTCTCTGGATTTCTAGTCGGCCGACTTGTCTTGCGTTTTGGGCTTGTCATCCTCAATCCTAGGGGGCAATTCCTTCATCTCTCTCCCTTCTTTCCATCCAAATGATTCTCTTTCTCTGGAGAACCCTAATATACTCCTTATAAAATCAGCAGGTACGATCATTATTCCCATTTTATAGCTGTGGAAACTGACCCAGAAAGGTTCAGCAACTTGATCAGGGACACACAGCCAAGGGGGACAGAGTTAGAACTTCAATCCACCATGTCCACAGAATCCTGCACTTAATCATATGCTTTATTGACTGCCTCTCCAGAGACAGACCTGGGTGTGTTTGGGGTTCACTGGGAGGGCTAACAAAGGCGGGCAGAATACATCAGAGAATGAGTCTCTGTAAATGCATATTTCTCACAAATGAGAAAATAATCATGGCTATGCATAAAGATTTAGTCAAGAAGATATTTATCAACCATTAGAACAGTAACATTTTTTTCTCTTTGTAAAAACAGTTTTGGGCTGGGGATGCAGCTTAAGCGGTAACGCGCTTGCCTGGCATGCGTGGGGTGCTGGGTTTGATCCTCAGCACCACATAAAAATAAAAATAAAGAGGTTGTGTCCACCGAAAACTGAACAAAAAAAATTAAAAAATTCTCTATCTTTAAAAAAAAAAGGTTTAATGAACCAAACTATGATACAGCCATGTAAGAGAATTCTATATATTCACTAAAATTGATACTGTTGAGTATAATGCTATGGAAGGATATTCATGCTATTCTAATGGTTTTTAAAAACAAGCTAAATATGGCAAAGTATCTAGGAAATAATCTCATTTCTTTTAAAATGCTGGGTGGAGGGCAATCTTTAAGAGGACTTCTATTTGGGGGTACTTGTGCTTTTAAATTTTTATTTTCTCCCAGATCACTCACTCCAAAGGAAAGCAAGTGGCTACACTTTAAGTAGTTCTGCGGAGAGACCCCTGTGCAAGAAACTGAAGCTTCTAGCTGACAGCTGGTGAGGAGCCGAGGTCTGACTGCAACCATGTGAGTGAGTCAGGAAATTCACCTGTTGGTCTCAGCTGAATCCTGCTTAAGATGACCAGCAATGAGCCAGAGCCCTGGCTGCCAGCTTGACAGCAGCCTTTGCTAGAGACCCTAAGCCTGAAACACCCAGTTCAGTTGTGCCTGGTTTTGTGACCTCCCCAGAAGCCATGAGATGGTTGATGTTCACTGTTGCTTTATGCTGCTAAATTTTAGAGAAATTTGTTTCGTGGCACCAATTGATAATTAACACACATGTGCAAGTGAAATGACCAGGTAGGATTCAAAACGTATTAGTGATTTTCACTAGGTGGTAGGATAATAAGTCATTTTTATTTGCTTTATAAAATGTTGGCAAATATTTTTCCTTTTTTGGAAGACAAAAAAAAAAAAAAAGAGAGAGAGACCATGTCACCAAGAGAGATCATACAATCTCCTGAAGAATAAAAAGATAAAGATGAGGAGACCCAATTTTAGCTCATCACATTTAAAGGTTCTTTTCAAGTTAATTAGCTTAAATGTGCAAAATTAAAAAAAAAAAAAAAAGAAATGAAATTCCCAGCTGAGTGGCTGAAGGACAYGGTGGAGCAAACTTTACCCACCAGAAACCATAAATGCACTGGGAGTGTTAACATCCACTAACGACAGGAAAGCAGACTTCCACGGGCTCCTTAGAAGGAAAACCCAATGGTAACAGAGTCTTGGAGCCAATGATGACACAGGACCCTTGCTTACCCAGCTTCTGGTCAAACCGCCATGCTGCAATGTAGGCATTGTGCCTCAGACTGCTCTGGGTGGCCAGCGGCACGGTGACATAGATGGGACCGTCCACCAGCACCGGGGTTCCATTGCTGCTGAGCAAGTGGACGCTGACAGCTGTGACAGGGGTCAGGTCATACCTGGTGCTGTTTCCTAGAAAGAAGAGGCAGTTTCTATCATGTTTTTACTAATTACCTGGGGCTGCAGAAACCCTTGGAAAAATAGTCCTTACTATAATCCTCATCATAACCTCATCAGGCAGGTAAAACAACCATTGTATGCATAAAAACACAGGCTCAGAGAGGGCAGCAATGGTAGCTACCCTGCGGTCAAGTACTAGTTAGTAGTATAGACCCAGGTTCCAAGCTGGGGTTTGCCAAGCCTATCTATTATGCTCCATTTCCCCAAAAGGGCCTCAAAAGGGAAAGATTTTTCTAAAATGCAAGGTGAAGTATATGTGGAAATCACTGAAAATGACTTCTACATAAAGTAAGCTCCAATAACATATTTAACACATATAATAACATAAGTCAACAGATGACCACAATGAAACCAAATATTTTAGACTGTTTTTTTTTAAAGAAAACAATAAATTTCTTCAAGGATTGCTTTAAAATATTAACTTCTGCTAAAAGTATACTATTAAAACTTGGACTTGAAGTATTTATGATTTATTTTAGTTGCCACTGTTATTTTGGTCTATTTAAAAGGAATTTAATATCCCATTTACCCTCCATTAGAGGCCTTATTCAAGCCAATGTTTTAATGACTGTCTCCTGATAAATTAGAGAATGCTTATGAGAGTATGTAATATTTATACACTTAAGCAATCMATTTTAGAGTTCTCTATAGTAAAATATAATATCATGCAAATATATTCTATCATAATTTTGCATCTTTCCTTGAACAGAATGAGAGTGATAAAAATTTTTTAGGCAACATTAGAATATGATCTATAAGGTTTCTTATTCAGCTACTTGTACACTTACCCATCTATCTGAGCTAATGCCTCTACTTTGGAACAAATGAAAACACTGAAAACAAATCGTGCATTTGAGAGTTTCTACAATGAGTTATGGCTAAATCCTTCACAGAGCAACTTCTGGATAGTCAACAACAGCAGAACCTTTCATGTCTGTTTTGCAATGAGGGAAAGGCAAAGGAAGAGAAGACTTTTATTTTTAGTCTGGTCATTTTGTTTTAGGATGAAGAAAACCAAATCCCAGAATATACCATGTTTCTGGTTAAAATACCTGTGGATTGGGAGATACATGTGCCAAATGCTTAAGGTGACACAGTAGCAAAGCCAGGCCTATCATGCCTGACTCTAGGCTTTGTCAGAACCTYGGGATGAGATGTAACTTAAATAACTCATTGGACTCTATTATATAAACAATTTAGAGTTAATGTCTTCCTTTAGGGAGGGCTGTTCTCCTCCATCAAGCCCTCTGGGGGCTGTCTCTGTATAGGGAGGCAGCAGGTGAGTGGAGCAGGAAGCATGAGAAATGGTCTCTCTCTCATTCCTCCTTCCTCATCTTTTGATTCTTCCTTTTCATGATCCTATACATTCCTGTCCCAGGGAAGTGGGGTTCCAGAACCAGATCTGCTATGAACTACCCACACAGTCTGGCAAGTTGCTCTGCTCCTCTAGGACTGTTTTTCTTATCTTCACAACTAAGGAGGGTGGACTAAATGCCTTCTCAAGGGTATGGGCATAAATATTCTCAGCTGTAAGCATTCAGAAGTAAGCCAACATTGCAGGAATGAGCATATTAGCTGAACACAATATGCATTAGGTTCCTGTCACTGAGAGTCCCCTTAGAAGTTCTCTAGGTCCCTTAAAACATGGTAGGTGGTCTCATCTACATTCTGGAAGCCTCTCTGCTTCATCAGTACTCCATTAAAGGCCTCCCTGATGATGCTCTACCCTCCTGCTTTCTTTGTTCTGAAATGATTCATACTTTAAGGGCTAAGTTATTTCCCTTCCACTCTTTGAGTTCTCTATATAATTAGGCTTCCCTTTCTGCCTCATCGTTTTTTTTTTTTTTTTTTGTCCTGGGGATTGAACTCAGGGGTGCTTAACCACTCAGCCACACCCCCAGCCCTTTTTATTTTCTATTTTGAGACAGGGTCTTGTTAAATTGCTTAGGGCCTCGCTAAGTTGCTGAGGCTGGCTTTGAGCTTGTGATCCTCCTGCTTCCGCCTCCTGAGGCAGCTGGGATTACAGGTGTGCACCACTGTGCCTGGATTTCTGCCCCCTCTTGATGTGACTTGGCTATTTATGTCCAAATCAAGATAGGTGTCAGGGCAAAGAACAGGAGGAGTGGGAAGCACGTCGGCAGCTAGAAGACACTGTCTCATCTCAAGCTTCCAGTTGATTAGTTACTTGTAACATGAATAGTTCAGCTTAGCCACCAGGGTTCCATTTGGCTTTGCATTCTACTCCAGTTCAGTGTTGAGTATCCCTGATCTGGAAAACCTTTTTTTKTGTGTGTGTGTGATACTTGGGATTGAACCCAGGGGGCGCTCTACCACTAAGCTACCTCTCCAGCCCTTTTTATTCTGAGACAGATCTCACTAAGTTACTGAGGGTTTAATAAGTTGTTGAGGCTGGCCTCCAACTTGTGATCCTTTTGTCTCAGCCTCCCATACTGCTGGGATTATAGGTGTGAGTCACTGTGCTCTGCTCGATTTGAGATCAAATCTGAAATCCATATTTCTAAGTCCCATGATGCTTAATTGGTAATGTCTATGTAAATATTAAAAAAAAAATAGCCTCTTCAAAATCTGAAATACTTTTGCCCAAGTATTTTGGGTGAAGGATAATCAGCCTGTCACTAACTTTTTGGGGTTGCAGCACAATTGGCAACTTGATTGTTTATTATCTTCCTGGAGTTGTCAGCGGAAGTTATTCCTTTAAGCCCCCTTGGGAACGCCATAGAGCAGGTCAGTACTTTCTTAGTAGCCAGGGGGAGACTGTGATGCTGGAAGGCCCAATATCTTTGGTTCGTGGGAGAGGAGGGCAACTCCTTGTGACGTAAGGAAGCCACAGAGCAGAGGGACTGGAAAGATTGAGTGGAAAGCGGCTGAGCTCTCCATATGGCTGCATTTCTCTATTTTCTCTAAACTGCACACAACTGCCCTCATGACACCCCAAGAAAACCTCCTTCTAATCCCTTTTGCATGCTCCTCTGTTTCTTTCCACCTTTGCTGACCTTACAGATATGACCTGTCATCCCATAGACACATCTGGTCCGGGTTCTCCCTCTAAGCTGAGATCTCTTAGATGCTTTTTATAAAGCAGGGGCAAGTAACTGTGGGGCAGAAGAGAAGCTGTGCCCAAGCTGGGACTGAAGCCTGCAAGGAGCTCAGAAGCTGCAGGCTCATGGTGCTTAGTGGCACCCAAGCTTAGGCCCTCTAGGTGAATGTGACTGTACCGCAGGCTGGATGCCTTTCTTGGTAGGTCTCAGAGAAGGCCTATCCTTTCTAGGTCAATTCATTAGTTATTTCAGTGGAAAAGAATTTTAATGTCACCTTCCAAGACCTTCTCTCTTMCCTGTGAAACAGAGTGATTTTAAAATAAAATGAACTCCTCTAAAATCAATAGCTCTGTGTCACTGTGTTCTTCTTGCCCAAGTCTTCTCAGATTTCATCATTTATTCAAAACTATTGGAAGCAGGACATGGAAAAATTAATGAGCTCTGAAAAATGAGGCTGTACCTCTGACTTGGGGTTTTATGATTGTGTTCCCTTTTGTTGGGGACACTGGATACAAGTTAGGATGGTCTCAAATGTGCAAGAGAAAAACAATGCTTCTCTCTTGCACATTTAAAGTAAAAGTCAATATTTTTCCTCCAGAATATTTACTAAAATGACACACATCTGTCTGATGGCAAAGGACTGACATATTAATCACACCACCAGTCCACAAAAAGTGAAACAATTCTCAAAATAAGTATCACAGAGGGCAGCAAAGTGAATAAGAAATGACCAGATCACCTTCATCTTTAACAAGAAACTTATTAACATGTTRTAAAATGTTTTAGGTTTAAAAGCTTTTTCAGAATTATAAATTTATGTAAAGTACTAGAAAATCAAATAAAGTTCAATGAAAGTGTTCCTAGGAAATGCAGTATCTGACCCAGCACAAATTAACTCAGAACAGCCCCTGGTTTTCAATTTTATGCTGTATCTAGTCTAAATTGGGGGAAAGAAGAGGCAGACAACACGACAATTTAGGGATTCAAAAATCTTGCTCTCATTGTGCACCATGGGAAGACTGAGGGCCATGTTGTCACCCAGTGCCCCGGAGAACTGCGCTGTTGGGTATGAATGAAGATCTTCTCTGGTAAGGAATTATCCTCTACTCTCTGGCTGGTAGCTTTTGGCTACTCTGATCTTGTGGCTGGATATGTGTCAGGCTATGACAATGACAGAGCTGATTTAGAGATCTGCCAGGAGATTCCAAATAACATCAAAGCCCGGCTATTCTGAGACATTCCAAGGAACACCACCCCCTCCTTCGGAGCCCTTTCCAATCCCCTTTAAAGGAAAGAAAGGCAGAGAAAGCAAGTGCAGAGACAGGGAATATGTGGGGAATACTGGATGGATACAGATGATAAAGAGCAAGAGCTCCCTGTTACTTAGGGTCCCACGTGCTGGTGGGGTGTGGAGTGCCACTGCTCATCTGCAAATGAGGCCCAGTGCCATCCTTTCCCCTCCCAGCTGTGATCGTGGTGGTGGTGGCTACGCAACTCCTTCAGGGCAGCTGGGCAGACTGCTGCACATATTCTACCTGGGACCAGGTGGAGGTCAGGGAGGCAGAAATCCCCTAATTCTGATCTCATATGTAAAAAGAAAAAAAATCCGATTTCAAGTATAAGATGTTCTCTGAATTGAATATAATTCACCAAGAAACGCCTAGAGAAGTTACTTCTGGCATCTGGAACCAGCAGAAAGGCTGGTTCACTAAAACACAACTTGGCAGCAGTGCAGACTGAATTTGGCAAATGCACTGGTGGAACCTAACAGCACAGATGCACTTGAACTTGTGGGGAGAGTTCTTCTGCCCTTTTTTCCCCTTTCGGTGCTTATGCTTCCAGCCATATTGAAAACCAACAAATACAAAACACAACCCAGAAGCTCCCACCGGAAAATCAGAAAAGAGATTCAAATTACCTGTTCCATTTCCATCTAGTCCTCGCAAGTAAGGAAAACTGTCCACCTCCGAGGGAGAACTGGCAGCCGTGAGGAAAGCGGTCAGGTCGCTGTAGCTGGTGTTCTCAGGCAACCTCAGGGCCCTTCTCTGGAAATGAACGCGAGGCTGTGGCCGGGCACCTGCAGGGATTAACCTCTGAGTTACCTCCCCGAGGAGGAGCCGTTTCAGTTTCAGGAAATGCCAAACCAGGAAGGGGCTTCTCCAGGGTTTCCACTTGCCTCCCCACCCGGCTCCTTCCCAGACTGCCTCCCATCCCTCATTCAGGCAGGACACAAAAATGTGGCAACATGCTATTATGGGGCGAGAAATAATAGCCCATTGTCACAATTGTTTTGACACAGGATGTTATTTAGGTTTTTAACAAAAAGCTTTTTCCAAGTTCTATTTGTGAACAGTCTCGTCACTGCAGGACGTTTGCCTGTGGATCGGTAACGTTGGGGAAAGTCTGAGTAAATGAAACAAATATTTGACAATTAATCTCTTTACACAAACAATGCCACAGAGATGCTTTGACACTGGTACAAACCCATTCCCTCATCTCTCTCTGGCAAAATCTGGTCTAACTCTAGAGACCGAAGTGAAGCAGAGCAAGGGGATGAAATGTTCAGTCTTGGAAAGAATCGCAGACAAGAGGCCCCCAGCATGACTGCTCTCTTCCCTGTGGAAGCTGCCATCTGAAAGCCCGACTATTCCTCAGGGGTGCTTACTAGTTGTGTCAGATTATGTCACAGGTTTTATAATGAAATGATCCAAAGTTATGCCTCTTCACCAAGTCCTGCTCCTTTGTGAGAAGGCGGGTGTACCCAAACAGTTACCTTGTGATGTCACCTGCGGTTTACCTTTTTCCAGATGTTAGGATTGCAAAGCTTGAATCTGTTTGTACCTAATGCGGTGGCGATAGTCACACTATGTGAAATTGGGAAGTAATTTTGCATAAACCCAGCAGAAACATCATTAAGACAAAAACTGTAATATCCTACCCCAGCATGAGGTTGAACCTGAGCCAAAGGCTCCTTCTTTCCAACCCACAGCTGGCCTAGTATACCAGCCTTGCCAGGAGTGGGTGGTGTTTAAGCCCACCCCAGGGTTCCCTTTAACTTGCCAGGGAGGAAGAACCTATCCAGAAGTATTCTAGAAGAAGCAAGAGCTTGAAGAATCAATGAGTCCAAGGTTCTTCTCTTTCTACGGGTGAGACCATGAAAGCTCAAAAGACTGATAAAATTATATCTTGATAGGGTCATCTTGGCTACCTGTGACCTCAGTGGTGGATGATCATAATGCTTCTTCCACCTCCTAAAAATCATTGATATGATCCATCCTCTGACTGGCTGTCCTCTGTGAAACACAGGCTCAGGTTCAGAGCCCTCTCAGCCAGGTGCCCAAAGTCACAATGGCCCTCTCTCACTCAGGTCACTTCCACTGGTAATGACTACACACGTCCATCAGTCCGGTTGCAGACCATCCACATCTTGTAACATCCCTAAAATAAACGCACTGCAATATACCAGCCTCTGCGAGGGCATCTGTATCTTTCAACATTTCCTCCATTCTCTTAGCCAGGTCATCTTTTCTTTTGATTCTACTGAATACTCATCTCTCACTTCTGCTGTTTCCTTGGTCTGCAATGATTGTGCTCCCAGTAGCTCTGACACACACTGTCACTGCCATGACACAGATACTGTCTGCTGAGGGGCCCAGCATGCTCCCCCAGCTGACTGCAGCCCAAACCCATGACTGGTGAAGTGATAGAGACATCTGAGGAATCTAAGGGCACAGGTTATTCTAAGCCATGGCCTAAACATATCCAAATGGGTATATGTAGGTGGGGGGAGTGGTTATGGCTGGCCTATCTTCATGTATTAAAGCTGCTAAATTTTCACATGACTGGGCGGGAATGAGGCTGAAGAGTGGCCCAGCCTGCCTGTCACCCCCGCTTGCCTCTTTCACATTCCTCACAGCATCTGTTTGAAATTTCTTCTGTTCTTCTCACACTTAGGGCTCCATCCTCATCCTCAATATGCTTCGATTTGACTTTGCTGAAAACACTGGGTCCTCCACTTCCTCTCTGCACTTCTCTCTCCTCCAAGGTCAACCCCAATCCCTACCCCAACAGTTGCTTGCTTGTTTATTGTAAGATGTGGCTGCACCAACAATTCTTGCCTTTGTCCACAACCTCTTTGTCTATAGGCTTTTCTTCCCTCACCAACAATTAGACTCATTTCCTCCCCATCTAGAAAAATCACAATCAAACATTACTCTAACTCTGTTATCCCCAGAAGCAACTGCCTTCTCTTCTTCTACCCAGCCTTCAATGATGTGGCTTTTACCCTCAACATATGCTAGAAATGTTGACTGCCTAATCCACAAACCCCATGATCACTTCTTAGTCTTTATCCTCACTGACCTCTTCACAATGGTCCACACTGTTTACTGTCCCCACCCACGAACCCCCTCCTTCCTGGCATTCATGGCCCTGCACACTGGTTCTCCCCAGAGTCTGCTTTTCCCCTTGCAAGTACTTTTCTTTTTTTCCTGCCTCCAGATAAAATGGTTCCTAAAGGGCTGCTGCTGTTCACACTGCCTCTGCCGTTTCTCTATTCTCTCTTTAGTGAGTTCCTTCCATTGTTATAACCTTGACTATCACTGTCCTCTCCAGCCCCAAACTCTTTTCTAACCTCCACATCTGCATTTTCCCTTTACTTCTAGGGTATTTCTACCCAGATGCCCATCTTGCATTCCCAAATCATCATGGACTTTCTCATTTAATGATCCCACATCCTCCCCAACATCCAGTTTTGACTCCAAGTCAATATCATCATTTTCCTTTTCTAATATCTTTCATATTCACTCAAGTGCCAAGACTGGACAATCTGCCTTTGTCAACATTTCTTACATCATCTTTCCCTCCCTTTCTGCCTCCACCCTCTGTTACCCTATGTTAGCTTTTCCTCAATTATTGTGAAATTCTCCTAACTGTCCCCCTGCCTCAGTCTTACCCCATTTCTGTTCTAAGATACACACTGATCATTTCACTTACTCACACACTGACTGTTCTAAGATACCACACTGATCATGTCCTAGAGACCAAAACTACTACTTCCTCTTCAAGTGAGAGGCACAGATTGGTGCTTTAGGATTTATAAAGTTATATATTATATACATACACATACACATTTATGTATATACATATATATACATGTGTGATATATGACTTATATAACTGTAAATTATAACATAAATTCTTAATTCTAAAGCACCAATCTATATATCTCTCTTTATATATATGCTATTTGTGTGTGTGTGTGTGTGTGTGTGTGTGTAGAGAGAGAGAGAGAGACAGAGAGAGAGAGAGAGAGAGAGAGAGAGAAGGAGGGGGGAAACGTAAAGAACACACATACACACACACATACACACACACAATATTTACAACAACTCTGTGAATAAGGAACTCTCCTCTCTCTTTATGGGTGAGGAAACTAAAGCCCAAAGAAATTAAAACAACTTGGCCAAAGTCATTCTGGTTGTAAGAGGCAGAAATTTTTTCAAACTTCTGTGTCTCTTTCTATTATCCCATGCTTACCTCAAAATAGATGCTCAATTACCAATCAGCCTCCAGTTATCTGGCCCCMAAAAAGACCACACAGTTCTACATTTATATGTATTTTCATGCTCATCTCCATGTCTGAGACTTCTGCCTACTGTTGCTGTTCTCACAGTTTACAAAATGCTTCTCAAATGCCACCCCTTTCCATAGCCTTTCTTGACCCCATCCCAAGCTCTAAGCTCCATTTGTGTCTCACAGATAGTCCAAATATGACTGTGCCTTGTGCCATGTTTATGTGGGTATTTGTGTATCTCCCTAATCAGAGGCACTATGAGAGAAGAAAATGGGTGGTAGAGCCACTTAACTCCAGGCTTAGGACCTCCCTCTACCACCTTTTCAGTGAGTAGCTTTGGCCTTCATGCTCTTTATCATTAAAATGGAAATGAATCATACTCATCTCCTAATGTGGTTGTCGTGATGTTAGTTCAGAACACACATTTAAAGTGCCCAACAGTGCCTCAGAAGCAGGATAAGGTGCAGGATAAGCATTACTTCACCAGCTCCTCTTCTTTAAAGACAGGTGTTCTGTGGAATGCACTACATCATGTCCTAACCATACCTAATGCTCAGCAATGCTTGCAGAAGTGAATGAGAAGATGGGCTATACTCAGCAACTTGCTGTATTCCAATTATGCTTTGCCCTAATTCCAACTAGATCAGGATCACCAATGCTCTGGGCCAGGTAATGCTGTGTTGGGATGCAGGCTGTTCTGTGCATTGTCGCACATTTAATAGCATTTTGGGCTTCTACCCACTAGATGCTAGTAGCAGCCCTCAAGATGAGACATCCAAAATGTCCCCAGACACTGCTAAATGCCCCATTGGAGAACCACTCTCTATATATTCTGAGAATCTTCACAATGATCCCCCAAACATGCTGAGAGTCTCCTGCGTGCGTCAAGGACACAGGAGATACAAAGAGGTAAAGGACAAAGCCTCTGTGTTCCTGGACTCAAGAGTCGAGAAGGCCAATGTGGAAATGGCTTATTAATCATAGTGTCGTAAGTTCTGGAATATGTGAGGAGGCAGATGAGAAGAGACAGAAGAGATGCCTGACAGGCCAGCACATGCCCAGAGGCGAAGGAAGTGTGCACACCAAGCACAGACTGCTTGGGACCCAGAGGCAGAGGACGAGGCTTGTGAAGGGCACAGTGTGTGCCACTCAAGACCTGGACTTGAGTGGGTCTGAGTGCCATCCTGGGAGAAATGACCCGGAATGTGATGACAGTGAATAGGAAGTTAAGGCAAGGTGCCCCAGACTTCTTCTGTATCTGCCTCTGGGCAGACAAAAAAACAGATACAATGGTATCTGTTTTTACCCAATTCTGATAGCAGGTGGGGAATGGCTATGGGTAGGGAGAGCCTAATGCTGAGGCTGCTATGAAGTGGCTCAAGTGAGAAATGATAAAGCACAAAATAAAGACAGTGACACTGGGGAGTTGACAGAGAAGAGGAGGCTCGAGTTGAAAATCATTTTTGGACTAAGTGACAGGCAGGGAAGTAAGAACCTCTGAGGGAGGTGAGAAGAAAGGAACAAAGTGATGGGCAGAGATGGTAAAGAAACAGAAACGAGAGTCAAGAAGGATGCAACAGGGAGGGTTTAAAGCCAGGCAGAAGTCAATCAGAAGGGGGTGGCTGGGTCTGGCAATTCCAGCTCAGCTAAACTCAGCAAGAGAAATTTCTCAAGAATAGCCTGGGACCAAGTAAAAGGGAGCCTGAAGGAATGCACAAGCAGGGGGAGATTCTCCAGTTTGGGAGGGAAAGCAAATTGAGGAGACTATAACCTGACCAAGGTATAAGAAGGGCTTCTCTTTAAATGGCAGACATAAGCAATCTTGAGAGCTGAGAAAGAACTAGAAGAGAACAATGGATGATTCTGCACAAAGGGAGGAAGGTTGGAAAGAAGGAGGAGATCAGAAATGGACCCAGCGGGAATGTGAAGGGACTCACAGTGGGGCAGACAAACTGCAGGAAGGAACATGAGCAGGTCCCTGTGAGAGAGGGGGCAGAAAGCAGGGGACTGAAGCCACTATGCCCCGAAGGCCTTGATTTTCACTCTGAAACAATCAGCAAGGTCACTGCTAAGGGATGGGGCATGAAGGTGGGTGCAGGAGAGGCTTCTGGCACATGTCCTAAGGAACAGAAAAGGGACTGTGCAGGGCACAATGAAGAGGCCCGGCCAAGGATGGAGACTGCTGGTCTGGGTGGTGCCAGTTGGCCAGTTGACAGATGAATAGCCAGGAGCAGTCTGGGGCATCTTGCCTTATCTTCCTTTTCACTGTCATCACATTCTGTGTCATTTCTCCCAGGTTGGCACTCAGGCCTCTGAGAGGCAGAGCTACACGTTGGTCCCCAGTTCAGTGTTCTCATCTTCCATTCTCTTCTCATCTCACTGACGAATCAATTTGCCAGCATTTTACAACAACGAGCACATTTTTATGTATGGCCTCTGCTGAGGGAATTTCCTCTAACAGACCAGTTACTCAGTTGCCCACCCCACTCTTTCTCTTCACTGTTATAAGACTGTTCCAGGCTTTCTTTATAAAAGAATACCAACACTAACAAGACAACCATTTCCTTTACTTTTAAAACGCAAGGAGTGATGACTGCTAAGGCCAATTCCATTGGAAACATGCATTTACTGTAGCTTGGATGTTTGCAGGCATGTACAGAATCCTACCTAGTTTGATGAGAGAACTGTTTTATTGATGAATCAGGACAGACTTTATGGAAATATCACAGAGTATCTATCACAGAAGGAAGAAAGCAGATCGTCATTTTATTTTCATAGAAAAACTCTCATTACTGTGAGTTTATTCTCTATCTTATTTGGTTGTCATCATTTTAAAGTCAAAACCCCAGCTGCAGCGTTGAGAGTTTGCCTGGGGAGAACAATGCGTCCATTCCCCTTCTCTTCCCGTCGCCATCTCTCCCCAAGTAGCCTTCATTCTCTTGAAGCTTTTCCTCTAGCGTCACATCAAACAATGCAGCATCATCTCACACAGCACGTGCTCTGTGTGAAGCTTCTCAAATGATCCGCCATCATACTCCTCAATCCTTTTCCCAGGCTTGTCTGACACATCAGACCCTCCAAGCAACACGCTCGAGTAAACGGGCTTACAGCACTTCACATTTCTGAGCAGGCAAGAATTTATTCTTTCCCTTTTCTAAACCCACTGAAAAAATAATAAATGCAACCACATAGGACCAGCTTGAGAATAAAAACAATATATCTTTCATAAATTCAGTGATATGTTGGTTTTGGAGATCGGAAGTGCTTTCCTTCCAACTTGCAAGCTATCCATTATTATTATAATACTGCCCAGGCCAAGGAATAGTACAAGTAAATGTTATTAAACTCATGAAATAGGGTAAGTTAAAAAAATTAACAAAACGTCTGTAATTTTAAGAAGCTGGTATGTAAATAAGATTACAAAAGGAAGAAATGGTTCTCAGTTAATTTCTGGTTAGCAACAGGAGACAGAGATACAATAGACTGAATAAATTAATTGCTAACAAAAACTACCTAAATGACTTACCTTCTTGGGTTTACTTATCTGATCATACTACTTGCTTCGGAGAGAAAGAACTATTCAAGTGGTGTGTGTGTGTGTGTGTGTGTGTGTGTGTGTGTGTACGCATGTGTGTGAGTGTGCATTTTGTTTTAGCATTCACAACCAAGAAAAATATTGACCATGGAATAAGCAGTCTATATAAGGAGGTTCAAAAAAGCAGTTGGCTTTTGACTGTCTTTTTGTATTTATTTACTCCAACAGTGAATTACTCACTGGGTACCAGTCACAAGGCAGGCACAGGGCCAGGCCCTGGAGGTACCAAGATGGTGAAACACAGTTGTTGCCCTTTGGGTTTTAAATTTAGTTGAGGAGTGTGCCACCAAGCCTGGCAGACAAGGAGGAGTTGTTAAAGGACCCAGAGCCCCTGGCTGGTGGGTTATTTATAAGGATCTGAGGAACAAAAAGGGATAGTGGGGCTTGTGGGCACCTGAGGACAGGACACGTTGGGTATTGAAAGTGCAGGAGCTGTCCCAGCTGGCCCTGGGCTGAGGACAGCTCTGGGATGACCAGGAAGGAGTGTAGTGTGGGATTTCCTCTCACTCCAAAGCAATTAACAAGACTCCACTAACCCCAGCTCTGCCTCCTTCTGACCTGCTTCCAAATGGCCTCCTCTTCCTACTCATCTTTTCTGTTATCTTCTAACTAGCTCACAGGCAAGGGCACAGACCCAGCCTGCACCTCAGAACCATTAAGATGCAATTCCTACCTCTCCTGGAGTCTTAATTCAGTCTGAGCAGAAGGAAGAGAGGCCAGAGCTGCTGACTTTAGCCAGTTCCCAAGCCCTGGCCACTCTATGGAATGGCTACCCCTATGCTGGGTGTCTGCTCCAGATCCAGACACCATGGCCTGGAGGGATGGAGTCACATGATCCAAAGTCCTTGGCAGATGAGGTTGCAAAGCAAGACAGTTGGCACAACTCTCCTCTCCAGTGGAGATACCTGGAGTATGGGACATTTAAGCTATCCTTAATGTCCAGGGAGGGTCTGAAGACAGGATAGAAGGTGAGGTGGGATGTTCTACCCATAAAATAGGAAAAGAAACTCAGGCTGGAACAGAACACATGAGGGAGAAGAACACTTAGAAGGGAGGTTGAGTCCAGATCCTAGAGACCTGTGGGTCCTCAGGAAGGAGACTGTTTTTATTCTTTAGTAAAGAGGGGCCAGGGAGAGAGAGACTTGAGGCATGAAGTCTAGTTGATTCTTCTTTATTTCAGGTTCACTATAACTGCATTTGACTCATGGAAACGTGAGAAGGGGAGAAAAGGTCACACACAACCCTACATGGGGAGAGGAGGACTGCTTACAGACTACACATGACAGGAACTCTGCAATCCCTCATGAAACCCCTCAGAGTCTTGAGAGGAGATGCTTGAGGCTGGCAGGTGACAGTGAAGAGGTGACAAGGAGGTCAGAGAGCCATGATGCAATACAGTGTGGCCATGACTCTGGATCCTACAGATTTAAGCACTGGTCACAAATACCTCACTAAGGACAGATGGAAAGGGAAGAAATGACATGTTTTCTCCTATAGGGAACCGGTGTCAAAGATGGCGCTAGAGGAAAAAAGAAGAGGCTAACAATGACTCTGTGGGGCCTACAAGGAACCAGGGAGAGGAGAAAGCAATACTCGGACACTTATTAGCCTTTGAGATTGACCAGGCCCCTAGGAAATGCAGCCAGGTGTGCCCTGGACTGTGACCCAGACAAAATTAACAATCTCTCCTTTGGAGAGGAGAGAAGATGGAGGACATTTCTCTTTTCCCCTTCACACACTAAAAGGATGGGTCTGACAGAAATAATATTATATTCAACTGGTGGTTTAACCAAAATTTAGATGTGTTGTGACCTCACCGGGACAAAACACGTTATGTCTCAGTTGTGGATAAATTCATTTCTGTGACCATCCAAAAATATGTGGGGTCCCTCATGAGATTTGAGTAGCCGGCCCCAAAGTTACTCTTGCTTCCCTTTTTAAATATTAAACCTACCTTGAAATCCTGATACTATTTGGACAACATCTTCATAGACCATTAGAGTAGCAGATCGTTCTGGAAGCAGGCCAAGGCTTAGCGAAGAAAATACTGCAGGAACAAAGATGGACACGAGTTTATTCTGACATTCAAATACAAAGGCCCACTCTAGTTTTCTAGGTACTCTGCATTCTTTTAATTTTCTGATGTCAAATCCATCGATAATATTGATTTTTCAAGATAATTAGTCAAAGCCCTTCAAAATACCACAAGAGTATTACAATCTCTTATATACAAACTGTTTGCCTTACAATAGTCAAAAGAGAAATTTGGTTAAAAGTTTTTAGTAAATTAACAGCCTCATTGCACTAAGAATATATTAAAAGCTTAATGCATACACTATATAAGCACAGAATACATAACGTTAGACATTAATATTAAGAAAAAAATTTTAAATATGTATTTAGATCATGTGTGCCTCATGGTAAAAGAATATTTGCCCCTATCCTGGAATCTTATAACATGATAGAACTTATGCCATTTAAAAATTACTGCTTAAGTACCTGGACATCCAACAACAAATTTCATGAAGCTTATACATGAGTAGAATGTACAGATATAAGAAAAAACATACATTATAGAATAATGATAATCATTAACATTCCCAAGCCCTTATAACAGGCAGATATTATTCTAAATCCTTTGGTTTCGGCCATTTGTCTACTAAATATTGAAACACCTCTCTCAAGTGTTATTCGCTATTACTAACATGTCCATTTTACAGGTAATGGAATAGGTTTAAAGGTGAGGAAATAACAGGTCCTTCTTTACTTAGATGATAATTGTAAGGAGCCAGGCTTTGAACTCTGGAGGTCAAACTCTGGAAACAACCAGGTAAATGTTTGTCTACTGATGAACAGAAAAACTAAAGTGTGTTATAATCACGCAAAACAGGAAGTAGTACGGACATGCCAGGAACTTTTGGACTGGTCACTGTGGGGAGTTTTTTTATGGGGAACGTGGTGGTTTAAGTCACAGAAATTGGGGTGATCTCAGGCCCTTTGTTCAAAACACACTGCCTGTTGCCTGTTTGGTACTGGCAGGGCAAGTATAGGTGAGGCTGAGCTTTGTGAAGTGTTTTTGTTTGCATGTTTGTTTTTGGTGCTAGGGATGGAACCCAGGGGCCCAGGCTCTGGTTTGAGTGCTGTGTCATTGAGCCATGTCCCTAGCCCAGAATCCTTAAATTTTTAATGAATTCCATGTTTCAGGAGCTGGAATCCAGTGGCGACCTGATCGCTTGGCCCCGTGCAGACGTTACATGAAGGCTTGGTGGCATAAAGCAGGGAGCAAGAAAAGGAAGAGGGGCTTTCTTCAAAGGAAGCCCCTTTGGTTTAGTGTTTGTGCTTTGTCCTCTGACAGTTCCATCTGGACTCTTCCCTACAACATTGGGCAGTGGCACTTGGGAACGGGGAGGCAGCCACAGCAGAGGGAGTGGTGAGCTGGAGAACTGCTTTGGGGGGCAAGGGGACACCCCTGGCGTGGACATCGGCATAGGTGGGTACGGGTACACCTTTGTCCCCCATGTCCAGCACTCCACTAGGGAGCAGTGCAAGGTCAGGGTGACTCACCAGGACTCTGCAGGTGCAAAAGGGAGTGTCACAAACATGGCCAGGCACAAAGGGCCACACACTGATTCCATTTATATGCCATATCCAGAAAGGCAAATCCAAGAGACAGAAGGCAAATGAGTGGTTGCCAGGTGCTGGAAGGGGTGGGGGAACAGCAAGTCAGGGGATGGGATTCCGGGTGGGGGTGGAAAAGGCTGGAACCAGGGGCCACGTGGTGGCTGCACAATTGGTGCATTTTATGGCACATGAATTCCATCTTGAACATAAAAATGAACAGAAAAGTTAAAGAAAAGAGAATTTACCTCAGAGGTTCAAAGTTCAGACATGGTTGGGGAGGAAGAATGAGAAGAAACTGCTATAGCAAAGGGTTTTGGGAGCTCCTGCCTCTGCCTGCCTGCCTGGCCATGGGTGGTCCCATTAGCGGGAGGAGCCCTAACATGGTAAAATCCTAGTTATGTAACCTCTAACACTAACCCTGTTGTCTAATGGCACAGGGCACCTAGTGGCCAGGAAGAAAGGACAGGACCCCTGTGGAGGGTATGTCTGTGGGAAATAGTTCACCTCCAAATGCTGCAGTGCCACACTCTGTCTCTCCACGTGCTGCTCGGTCCCAGAGCTCGCCCAGAGCCTTAAAGCATTTTCTAGGCCCGGAAACTCTGTCTGACTGGCGCAGGGGTCCCTGAGCTCTGAACTACCCGTGGGCATCCTTCAAGAGTTACGTGACCAACCATTGCAGTGTGTTTTGAAAACTTTTCTCCCCTAAACATGGTACATGGGGCAGCTGCTCTGGCAAACTGTTCTCAAAAGAGGAAAAACATGATTTCTTATAATGAGCCTGCTGAGCCTGCTGAACCTGCTGAGTGTGGCAGGGGCTTCCTGGAGCAGGAGGCCAGGGACTGGGCACCCAAACCCACTGAGCACCCAGGGTGGGAAGTGGCAGAGAGGCCCCAGGAGTTTCAAGTAGATGGTACTTCTACCCATCTCAGACTGATGCCCAGAGGTCCTCTTCACATCAAGTAGATTTTTTTTTTTTTTTCATGGTGCTGGGGATAGAACTCAGGGACTTATGTACATGCTAGGCAAGTGCTCTACCACTGAGCCATGCCCCCAACCAGACCCTCCACCCACCTTTTAAAAGTTAGATCTTGATTATTTGGTGTTGGGGATAGAACCCAGGGCCTTGTGCAGGCAAGGCAAGCACTTTACCAACTAAGCTATATCCCCAGCCCCACAGACCCTTGGTTTTTGATAAGTTGAGAGAAAGGAACATCTAACTCCACCTGGAAGAGGCAGGAAGAACAGAAAACAGTCCAGGTGGATTTTACAAGACAAAAGACAAGCTTGCCAAGTGAGGGATGGTAAACAAAGAGCAGCTTGGACAAACACAGAGAGGCCAGACTCTTTTAGGGAATGACAACTGCCCAGGGCAGCCAAACCACGAGGCAGGTCAGGGAGCAGTGGCCAGGGGGAAGGTTCTGCACGTCATCTTTACTCCCATCTGCTGCCACCCAAGGATTTTAGGCTGGCATATAATATAAGCAGACACTTGCATTTTAAGATGCAGTGCTCAATGGCATAGTGGGTGGTTTTGGGAGGGGGTGCAGATTAACCTGGCCAGAGGCTGCTGCAACAGCCCTGGATCACTGTAATAGCTCTGAGCTGAAGCAAGGGCTGTTGAGAAGGAAACAATTCAGATGCAGAGTGACAGTCTTTAGTGGATGGACTAGATTTTTATGTAGTTAATTTTGTGCTTTCCTGTTTGCCAAAGGTGAAGAAGACTGCTCTCTCTATGCTAGGCTCTCCAATCCCCAATCTATACCCGTTTCTATGAAAGGGAAAAAAAAAATTCAACACAACCTCTAGGAAACTATTGTTAAGGATGAAAAAAGAAATTCACTCCAAGATCTCATAAGGAGGCTCATGCAAACTAAAACACTGTGCGCACACACAGTATAGAAAACATTTGTTAGTTTTGATTTTTTCATATTAATTTTAGAAGAGGCTCCCGGCTCTTTTCTCTTCCTTGTCCAATTACCTGAAATACCAAAAGTATTAAGATATACCTACAAAAGAAAAAAAGTGACAAAAGCAATAATCTACTCTGCTTTTTACAAGAGGCCCATATAAATTTTGGTTGCTTCCTGTCTCATTTCAGTTAAGAGTATCTTTATTATGTTGAAAAGCCAAGCAGAATAAAATAATCAAAGACCAGGGGAGGTACTTGGAAATTATCCAGTTTAATCAATTTCATTTTAGAACTGAGAAACACAGGCTCAGAAACTCTTGATAGGCCCAAGCTATGTGGGGCTGGCTAGGGGTGGGCAGGCTTGGTACTGGGTGTCTTCATGCCTCATCCAAAATTCTTCCAATTAAACTACTCTATTGCCATTATTTGACTCATTTAAGGAAATGGACATTATGGAAATGGTTTCTTTTTCTCAAAGGATCATTATGTTAACATAGTCGAAATTAATAAAATTGGAGCACAGTCGATCTTCATTATTCATGGATTCCATCTCTGCAAATGTGCCTACTTGCTAAAATTTACTTGTCACTTCAAAATCAATGCTCTTGGTGTTTTACATGCCTATGGAAAGAGTAGCCAAAGATGTGAGTTTCCCGATGCACATATTTCCAGTGGAGACACTGGACACTCTGCATTTTGTTTCAGCTCTCATCTCTAAGTGTTCTTTTCTCCATTTATTTAGCTGCTAAGCTTTTCACATTTTTTTTCCACTTTCTATTGGTGATTTCACTACTGAAAATGGCCTCTAAGCTTAATACTGAAGTGCTGTCTGGGTTCCTTAGTGAGAGAAGGCTGGGATATGCTTTATGGAGAAAATATGCATGATAGAAAAGCTTGCTTCAGCTACAGTGCTGTGGGCCATGAGCATGAGTTAACCAGCCAACAACAAATATTAAATAAGGTATTTTTAAACAGAAACGCAAATACAACATTGTGAGCACAGAGGCTCCAGGAACAAACTTACCCTGTGCTTCCCTCAAAGCACTGGTTCAGTATTTGCTAACTCCATCTTTGAGGCAACTTTATAGACTGTAACTTCCACAAATAATGCCAGTTGTCTGTACTTCGTGTGGCTGTTCACCTAACACAGGCAGATACTGTTTAAATTTTCCCTAGATTATTTCCAGTGACTTCACAGTATAGAAAATAATGAAGTCAACTGTGTTTCTTTGTTGTGAGATGGAACCTAATAAATGCGTCCTTTCCTCTTTTACAGGCTCTCAGGGTTCTATCCCAGGCCCACAGTCCTCCATTATTTGGTGCACCTCATAGTTTTGACTCTCATTTGACACTTCTGATATTCTCCAACTAAACTTCTAGCCCAGACTCTCTCTAGGAACCCCAGTATATTTCAAACTGAAGGCTGGTTATGCTCACTTGGTATCCCAGAGGCAATTTAACCAAATATATATTACACTAAACCTTATCATCAGCCACCAGTCCAACACCTGTCCCTCTCCTCCTGTCTCCCTGATCTCCTTTAGGGTCTCCATCCACCTCTGCTTGCACCCGGAGCTTGGGGGAACCTGGTGTGGTCTTTCAAGCCTATTGCCTCCCCTTGCAGGCTCTGTCCAGTTTCACCAGCCAGAAATCTGAGGTTCAACTCTAATTTTTTCTATTTGCTCTTCTACCTTACCTCTTTCTCATCCATTCTCCAAGGACTTTCAAGAATGCTGCCTGTTCAGTATTTCTCAGGTCTGTCCCTTTTTCTCTTAAATTTTTCCTACATGATCCCCTTCAATTGTATTAACATCAAATCCACTTTCCATAACTCATAGAGTAGGGATCTCAAACCTTAGTGAACATTTTTTATACATGAAGTATCTGGTGGTGGCAGTGATAAGGCTGCTTGTAAAAATACAGATTCCCAAGACAGCCTCCCACATTGAATGGCTGAGTCCTGTCTCTCTGTTTCTACCAACATCTTTTGATGCTGGTATCTATTAACCTCAAGGCTCGGTACCCCTACGGTCTCCTCCAGGAAACCCTGTTCATTCCCCCCAGCACTGGTTAAGTCTCTTCCCCTGGCATCCCATATGAGTGTCTCTATATAAATTTATCTGAGTATTGACCCTGCATGATGGTTGACTTTGATTGTCAACTTGACTGGATTAAGGGATGCCAAGACAGGTAGAAAGCATTAATTATTTTCAATCATTGCATTATTTATTCTAAAAGCTTCTATAGACACTGAGCACATATATCCTCTTCTGCTAAAGGAAAATCCAGGTGGTTTGGCATTTGGTTACAATAATTAGACTCAGTCATCTTGGCCAGTGAGTAGATGATCTGGGAAAGATCTGCTTTGGTGTGTGTGTGTGTGTGTGTGTGCGCATGCGTGTGTGCGTGTGTGTGTGTGTGTGTGTGGTGGGATGGAGGTGGGGGGGGGGTCCCAGATAGAACTAAAAGGTGGAGGAAAGACAAATTCTTGCTCACTATCCTCTGGAGGTGGGATGCCCTTCTTCACCTGCTCTTGGAGGTCAGAACTCCAGGTTCTCTGGCTTTTAGGTTTTGGGACTCATACCAGTGGCCCCTGGGCTCTTGGGCCTTTATCTCAGACTGAGACTTACACCACTGGAGTCCTTGATTCTGGGGCCTTTGGACTTGGACTGAGCCATTTTACAGGATTCCCTGATTCTCCAGCTTGAAATGGAGGGGACTTCTTAGCCTCCATCAGCAGGTGAAGCAATTTCTCTAGTAAGTTCCCTTTTCCCCATGTCTCTAGATAACTTATCAGTTCTGTTTCTCTGGAAAATCCTGATTAAAAACACCCTTGTGATGGAAATTATTTCTATGGCTGACTTCATAACCACATTTGAAGCTATCTAGGCCGAGTTCCAGATCTGGTGCCCAGGGCAGTGTCTGGTATATAGTAGGTACTCGATAAAAGTAAATTGAAATACAAAAAATTTTACAAATTTGAGTAGACACTGGGGCTTTATAAAGCAGAGAAAGCTCTTCTAGGTGTGGCCACACATCCTCAAGGCAGCTGGGTCCCTGCAAGGAGTTTGTCTGGCTATGCTGCAGGATGGAGCTGAACACTGACATGGGTAATTTTCCCAGGACTGCCCTTAATGCTATGCACTTACTGACCACCTATTGTGCTGGGTGCTATAGGGTAGTTTACCTGTGGTGACTAATTTTTAGTCAGAACTACTCCACAAGGTCTTAGCTTCAATTTACAGAACTGGCAAAAGGAAGCTAGAGGGCTCCTCTGCAGAAAGGGGACCAGAGCCCAATCAGTTGGTTTCTAAAGCCTGTGCTGTTGTGACTCTCAGCCCCAGCTTTGACACTCACTGGTCTTGGTGTCAACATACAGTATGGTCTGGGTACCAGGTGGAGTCTGAGGTCAGGGGACAGAGGGGCCCAGTAGCTGCCACTCCCCACCTACCCTATCTTGAGCTGAAGCTGTGTTAGGCATCATCCTTACTCCTGGAAGTGGACACACCATTCTGTGTGACCAACAGGAAAGGGGTAAGACTTTTGGACATCCTTGCACTGGGCCCCTGATGTGACAGCCGAGGAAGGAGGCCCCAGAAGCTGAAGAGGACATTGTGCGCTAAAGTCCAGTTACACACCTAGTCCTACTAGTTGTCATGGTGCAAAGTGAAGTGGTGGGGAGATGATTCCACTGTGTGTATGTGACATGGCAGCCAGCTTCACACGTTGACCCCATTTTCCCCCCACCTAACGGGGCCCCAAAAGGTCGGCAGAAAATCAACACACAGGTTTTACTGACTATCTGACTTAACACCTTCAAAACGGTTTCTGTTCTGACTCCGGCATCATTCGCCAATACCATGAAGTCGGTTTTAGACAAAGATTAAGAACACCTTACCAGGTAATCGGATTGGCTTCCACGGGGCAGAGTTTGGCACATAGGCATGCTTTGTGGCGGTGACGATTAACTGACTGCCCAGCTTGTACTGGAACTTGACAAAAGCGACACCATCTGTCCCTGATGTGCCAGAGGCAATGGAGACCTGGTTGGCAAAGATCTCAATAAGCGCATCTGCGATGGGCTGGTGGGTACTGGCGTCGCTGATGTGCACCTTCAGTGTGACTTCTAGAAACAGAAGAAGCAAAGAGAACAGCTGTTGTGAATCAAGAAACAGCAATAGCAATTCTTCCATACCTGAGATAAGAGCTGGAAGGTGGGCCACGCTAAGACAATCTAGGTCAATTGTGGTCATTGTGACTGGGGATGTCTTCTTCTTAGAGGTCCCCCTTTTAGTTTAAATGATTTCCTACTTTCTTCAAAGCCACTGCCTGTCATCCACAGCTTTCTTTACTCCTTCCTTTTTACTCCAACAGATAATTGGGAGTCAGGTTCTATCCACTCAACACGCTGGACAACAAACACAATAGTCTTCCATTCTTTCCAGCATTGCTGGCAAATAGCCCCAAAGGGCTCTGGCTACTACAGAAGGGAAATACATGGTTGGTGCAGGATAAAATCAACAATGTGAAAATCGGGTACATTATACACTTATTTGGTTCTCCAATTTTATCCATGTATCTTCATGCAGACTTGCAGGAGGTATACCACACATAGTTTCTCACTGAACTTGGTCTTCCATATCTCCAAATAGTATGCTAAATTACAACATAAACTCATTTTCATAATATTCATATGGCAAAAATCCTCTCAAAGAGGGCAAGTGGGAAGAGCTCTGTAGGGCTTCATTGATGATTTATGTAATTTTATGTAAATGTAACATTTACTAACAATTGGGATTAGGTTTCAGATCTCCTTTTAATGTTTGCTGAGCAGGCAAAACCCACAAAGATTTGCAAAAAAAGGATTCATGAATAAACAGAGAAAGAGGGAGCTCACTCTAATCAGTCTAAGATTTTACCACTTGAATTTCTTCTAATATAGAGAGCCTAGCTTATATTCTGTAATTATATACTTTGGAAGCAATTACTTAGCACATTCTTTTGGTGAGATAGAACAGGGGAAAATGTCAAAATGGTTGGGTAATTCTTACAGATCACTGGGGTATAATTTTAATAAGAGTAACATTGAGACTATCCATTCAATAGCAAACAAAATTACTACTACTACTGAGAGACAACCAGAGGAGAAACCTGACCAGGAGAGGCACTACTGGCTAACAGTAGTCTCCTTTTGCAGATAAAAAGAAGAGCCTATAAATGGACCCAAACCTAAGCATGCATTAAGATGTACCATGCTTCTTTGTGGTCAGCGAGAGTTGTAGGACGCTGTTACTACACTGAAATGGGGACATCATTCTTTCACTCCTTATCAGTCACCAAGTCCTGCAGATTTTGATTCCAAAATACACATCCTGAAACAGCCCTTCTATATCCACGCTAACATTACTCTATTTCAGGCCCTCACCATCTTTCATCCAGACTGCTGCTCAATCTTTCTAACAAAAATTGCCCCTATCTTCAGACCTGATCCTTAAAGTTCCACTGAAGTCAGAGGGAGCTAGCTAAAATACTGAGCTGACCTTGAACTCTTTTTAGTTGTCCCCCTCCCATCACCTGTAGCAGGAGTGAGCAACTGCAGCCAAACCCTCAAGCCAAATGTGGCCCATGTCTTATTTTTGAATGGTCCATAAGCTAAAAATGATTTTTACACTGTTAAATGACTAAAAAAAAAAATCAAAAGAATAATATTTTGTATCACAAGAAAAGGATCTTGAATTTGAATTTCAATGTCCATGAWGTTTTTTTATTTGTTCTTTTTAGTTATACATGACAGTAGAGTCTATTCTACTATATTTACACAAGCATGGAATATATCTTATTCTAATTAGGATCCCAGTCTTGTGGATGTACATTTTCCCATAAAATTTTATTGGAACATAACCTAAGTGTCCCTGTTTCATTTATTTCATATATATATATATATATATATATATATATATATATAGTAATTGTAGTTGGACACAACACCTTTATTTTTATTTGTTTATTTATTTTTTATGTGGTGCTTGAGGATCGAACCCAGCATCTTGCACATGCTAGGCGCGCGCGCTCTCCCGCTGAGCCATAACCCCAGCCCTCATTCATTTCTTATTAACTATTTTTTAAGTAGTTACTACCAAGATACTTTTGAAAAGCATTAATCGATTCAGATAACTAATGAACTGTACTTCTTAGAAAATATTTACTGATCAACTATTGTAAGCTTAGCATGATACTAGGTGCTGTGGGCGATTTAAAAAAGAAACAAAGAAAATGATATATGGCTCCATTTTTTTGAGTTTACAGTTTTTGGTGGGAGAAAGGAAGACCATATGGGTACCAGAAAAGGAAAAGAATGAAACAAAGTTAGTCAATGTGAAAAAGAGGAGGCTAATGAGATCTGGGATTAGTGTGCAAAATCAAGAGGAAAGAACAAAGATTTAGAAGTATCCACTGAGATGGGGTGACAGTCCAGAGATTTACAGAAGGATGTGGCAGGACCATGCTCCACGGTATGGATGTGGCTTTCTGAGAAGGAGCTGTACACATACTAACCCTGATTACGGGTTACAGGGTTCGGTGGGGAATGCTTCCTGGAAGACATGACAAGTGAGGCCGTGACCAGAAGGATGGGGGACACAGCAGACAAGTCTTGTGGACAACTGGGCATCTTTTCAAATAGACTTCTCCCATTTGAGGATGTTCCTATGAGTTCCAGAAACCCGTGTTCCCAGCCTTCTTAGTAGCTAAGATGGAGAAGGAATGGATTTTAGCTGTGCTAGTCTGACGTCTTTGTGCTAGATTCTGATTTGGAAGACAAGAAGCAAGCGGTTTTTCTGACCAAAGTGATCTTGGACTAGGTATCTGGTTTGCCGACAGAAAAAGTGCCACGTGAACAGTCCCTCCATATGGCTCTGGAACTGTTCTGGCTTCTAGCCCTGTCCTCCCCCAGATTCTTTGAGCCACCTAAAAGTGTTAATGAACGCCTTTCTCCTTACACCAGCTAATGTGGGTAGTGCTGTTTGCTCTTCGCGGTTCTAGCGCCATCCTGGCATGATTTCACAAGGCTGAGGACCATGTTCTTCAAACTGCACCTGCCAGCTCTCCTTGGACCCCAGCCTTCATTCTTGGTCAACACTCCTTATGGACTCTTCCCTGCATGCCTGCTCACTATAGGTGTACCTGCCGAGGGTGGTGCTCAGGCCTTTTCCTGCTACACAGATACTCAGTGAATTATTTCATGATCAGGAATTCACTCATGGCCTCTAGAGTGGTCTCGAAATTTCATCAGTCAGTGGCAGAGCCAAGAAGGAAGCAGCAAGCACTCAGGAATTCTTCCTCTAGCATGATTCAGAGCTCCTTGGCTCTTGGCAATCGCAAGGAGTTTGGCTCTGTGGGTACAAACTAGTCCATTTTAAGTAGTACAAAGAGCATCTGCTTTGTGGGTAGAAAACTAAACATTATCTTTTAGTCCAGTATTATCTTTTAGTCATTTCCTTTTTAACTGCCACAGATTTAGAACTAAATGCAACAAGACTGTTTCAAATTGTTGGCTTAGGAGAAGGGACCTCTAAGTAGCAAGTAAAGAACAAACATAATTGCAGGGACAAGAGGACAGAATTATGATACATAGAAGACTCCCTCCGTCAGGGTTTGACAAAACTGCCTGACGACATGGAAAGGCCATGAATAAAGGAGGCCTGGTTTTTCCTCCCCCTCTTCATCTTCAAATAATGCTGAATACCTTTCGTGACTTTTAATGTCAGAATGCATTCATTTTATAACTTCTCATCCAAACTCCAGAACAAATACCCTCTGTCTTTCTTAAAATCACGTGCTAACATGGAATATTCCAGAACATAAAACCCTTTGCGATTTTTACTGGGAACAGAGCTGAAAGTACAACATTCACCTGCTTTTTGAGTACCCTATACTTCTCAATTCTCACATCTATTCTAACAAACTCTGACTTTTATCTCAGAAGGGAAGGCAAGATGTCTGTGGACTTGAGTTGTTGGTTTTGGGGTTTTTTTTTTTKTTTGTTTGTTTGTTTATTTGTTCCGTGAAGTTTTTAGCTCCCTCTGAGTGTTTTGTGTTCCCTTTTATATTTTCCTCAAATTGGCCTTTATTGTGGGATTTTAATTTTTCCTTTCCTTTGGTTTCCACAGCAACCCACCTTCATGAGGAACCCAGGATTTTCTGGGTTGGTCATAATGTCCTGACAGAGAGTTTATTTCCCTCAGGCAGAGCAAGGAGGTCTCTGATATTAAGTTGCCCGGAGCTTTGGGGGATGCCTGATATCAGGGCAGTGGCTGGAAAGAAAGTCAGTATACTTAGCCTCCAGCACAATCATTAGCTATATTTAACCCCAATTTAAGGGAGCTACAATGGCTTTTCATCTCTTAAATGAAACAATAAAAGATCATTTGATCACTTAAAAACATTTTCAAAACAAGAGGCTGTTTTATAAAATGTTACAGACCTTTGCTCTAAGAGATTCTCTCCATGTTTGTAGACATTTACAACAGCAGAATGTTCATGGAATTCCCATGTCTTTATACAGCGACTAAAGCCCAATTCTAAGATGGTAACCTGTGAAGAGGCAGCTTTCTATCCACTTTTTTTATTTTTTATTTCTCTTACAAACATACAAGGTTGGTTCTACTTTGTCATCACATAAAATTGGGATGCACATTGTTTCACTAGAGCACTTCCGGAATTAATTTTCTCCAGTCTCATGTAGTACATATGCTTTATGCTATTCAATTTTATTTTTAAAGTTGAAATTTAAAATTTTTCAAACTTTTGTGAATCGTATTCTCCAAGCAAATTTCATGTTTTTTAATCCTATAAATTATTTGCCATATAACATTATAAGGCAGGTCATGTTATATGCTTATTATATCAATGTATTATTTACTAGTATATAATGTGTAACATAGCTAAAAAAAATCTGCTACAACATGTACACCCTAGGACTCCTTTATAGTCAATTCCTAGCACCACAAAAGCATCCTTACAGGTGTTTAATATTCTTCTTTTTTTGTGTGTGTATGTGTGTGTGGAACTGGGTGCTCTACCATTAAGCTACATCACCAATCCTTTTAATCCTTTTATTTTGAGACA